GTACACTAGGGCCTCCATAAATTGACTAAAGGAGTCCCTCTGCCGTTCCATCTCTAGCCAGCACGTGCCTTTATTTCAAAGCAACACTGAGCCTTTATTTAGCCCTCCTTGGGTATCCCGTGGGGGAACAGGAGAATGGAGAGAGCTGCCAAGGGGCTGGAACTGGATGTGACCTTACAGGAAAGACTTTGGCTCCTGTGTTGCACTGAATACCCCACTCTGAGTTCCCTCAGCCCTCTGATTTTATAGACAATGTAACCAGTTACCCTTTTTTGTCAGCACCAGGGCTGGGCCTTGTGATTATCTCTGATTTCCCTTCCCAGTTGTCAAGCACAGAGATAACTGGGAGGGGACATGGGGTGCAATTGAAGATCATATAGCCTGCCTTGAGTCATACCGGAGTCTCTGGATGGTGGGAGAGAAACATACAAAAGCTCTCCCTGAAGTTCTCTCCTCCCTTGGCTCCTGACCTCTGTGATCTAGGTTCCGCCATATTCTCCTCCTACCTAACAACTCCTTCTTTCCCAGGGCTTTCTTAGTTGCAGAGAGGGTCCCCCAAATTTCCATTTTCAAAACCCTTCACACATTCACTTAAACTTGTCAGGCCATACACTATATGGGGTAAAAGGGACTTCAAAAACAAGATTGCCTGTTGTAACCTGCAGAGCAGGGTGGGAATATAAATTGGTGCAGCCACTATGGAAAGCAGTATGGAGGTTTCTCAAAAGAACTAAAAATAGGGCTTCCCTGGTGGCGCAGTGGTTGAGAGTCCGCCTGCCGATGCAGGGCACACGGGTTCGTGCCCCGGTCCGGGAAGATCCCACATGCCGCGGAGCGGCTGGCCCCGTGAGCCATGGCTGCTGACCCTGCGCGTCCGGAACCTGTTGCTCCGCAACGGGAGAGGCCACAACAGTGAGAGGCCCGCGTACCGCAAAAAAAAAATAAAAATAAATAAAAATAGAACTACCGGATGTCCCTGGTGGAGCAGTGCTTAAGAATCCGCTTGCCAATGCAGGCGACACCGGTTCGATCCCTGATCTGGGAAGATCCCACATGCCGCGGAGCAACTAAGCCCATGTGCCACAACTACTAAGCCTGTGCTCTAGAGCCCGCGAGCCAGAACTACTGAGCCCACGCGCCACAACTACTGAAGCCCGCGCACGCTAGAGCCCGCATGCAACAACCACTGAAGCCCATGTGCCTAGAGCCCGTGCTCTGCAACAAGAGAAGCCACCACAGTGAGAAGCCCGCACACTGCATGAAGACCCAACACAGCCAAAAGTAAATTAATAAATTAATTAATTAATTAAAAATAGAACTAGCATATGACCCAGCAATTCCACTCCTGGGTATTTATCTGAAAAAAAAAATGAAAACACTGTTTGAAAAGATACATGCACCCCATTGTTCATAGCAGCATTATTTACAATTGCCAAGATATGGAAGCAACCTGTGTCCATCAAAAGATGAATGGATAGGGCTTCCGGGGTGGCACAGTGGTTGAGAGTCCGCCTGCCGATGCAGGGGACACGGGTTCGTGCCCCGGTCCGGGAGGATCCCATGTGCTGCGGGGCGGCTGGGCCCGTGAGCCATGGCCGCTGAGCCTGCGCGTCCGGAGCCTGTGCTCCGCGATGGGAGGGGCCACAACAGTGAGAGGCCCGCGTTGAGAAAAAAAAAAAAAAAAAAAAAAAAAAAGATGAATGGATAAAGAACAAGTGAACCTAGGGATTTTCCTGGCAGTCCAGTGGCGAAGACTCCATGCTCCCAATGTAGGGGGCACAGGTTCGATCCTTGGTCAGGGAACTAGAGCCTGCACACTGCAACTAAAAGATCCTGCATGCCTCAAATAAAAGATCCCACACACCACAAAGAAGATCCCTCATGGCACAACTAAGACCCAGCATAGCCAAATAAATAAATATTAAAAAAAAGAACATGTGAGCATATATATATATATGTGTGTGTGTGTGTGCGCACACACACACACATATATATATGCACACAAACACAATGGAATACTACTCAGCCATAAAAAAGAATGAAATTTTGCCATTTGCAGCAACATGGATGGACTTGGAAGGTATTATGCTAAGTGAAATAAGTCCGACAGAAAGACAAATACTGTACGATTTCATTTCTATGTGGAATATAAAAAATAAACTAGTGCATATGAGAAAAAAGAAACAGGACTTGCTTGGTGGTGCAGTGGTTAAGAATCCACCTGCCAATGCAGGGGACACGGGTTTGAGCCCTGGCCCAGGAATATCCCAAATGCTGTGGAGCAACTAAGTCCATGCGCCACAACTACTGAGCCTGTGCTCTAGAGCCCACAAGTCACAACTACTGAGCCCGTGTGCCACAACTACTGAAACCTGCGCACCTAGAGCCCATGCTCTGCAGTGAGAAGCCACCACAATGAGAAGCCCATGCACCGCAACGAAGAGTAGCCCCCACTCTCTGCAACTAGAGAAAGCCCGTGCTCAGCAACGAAGACCCAACACAGCCAAAAATAAATAAATAAATAAATATTTTTAAAAAGTAGTTTAAAAAAAAAAAAGAAACAGACTCAGATATAGAGAACAAATTAGTGGTTACCAGTTGGGAGAGGGAATGAGGGAGAGGCAAGATAGGGGTAGGGTATTAAGAGGTACAAACTACTATGTATAAAATAAATAAGCTAAAAGGATATATAGTATAACAGGGAATATAGTCAATATTTCATAATAACTATAAATGGAATAGAACCTTTAAAAATTGTGAATCATTATGTTGTACACCTGAAATTTATATAACATTGTACACGAACTATACCTCAATTGCCCTCAAAAGGCATAGGTGGAACGCAACAGATTGGCAGCCATGACGACACAGTGTAATATGGGCCAGGGTAGCAGCTGTTCTGGTAACTTCACCTACTACCTTTCCTTCATGACTACCCCACCTCCCATCTCCAGCCTGAATATAAAACTACTGCTGGATAGCTTCCCAAACGTCCCACATGAACCCAGCACTCCCTCAACTTCCGATCACCCCAACTGTTTTTTATTTCCAGGATTGTCTTGACTACCCACCCAGCTGACCAAGCTAAAAACATGTGCATCCACCTTTACCCTCCCCTCTCCATCCAGGCAGTTATATGGAATCAAGTCCAGAAGAATCTACGCCCATATCTTTCCCATTCCCTGATCTTGTTTTGGTTGTCAGTTTTCCTAAACTAGGGTGTGAACCTCCTCCAAGACTGGCTTCCAGACTCTCTCCATCCTCTACTTTGCCCACAAAAGAGCCTCTGATCGTGGGGGTCACTGATCAGAAACTACTCAGGTTGCTGAATTTTGAAATTTTTCATAATAAAATTCTGGGGGGAAAACAGGGTGTATTGGGTTATTTTTTTAAATATAAATTTATTTTATTTATTTATTTTTGGATGCGCTGGGTCTTCGTTGCTGCGCACGGGCTTTCTCTAGTTGCGGCGAGCGGGGTCTACTCTTCGTTGCGGTGCACGGGCTTCTTCTTGTGGTGGCTTCTCTTGCTGTGGAGCACGGGCTTCAGTAGTTGTGACACGTGGGCTCAGTAGTTGTGGCTCGCAGGCTCTAGAGCGCAGGCTCAGTAGTTGTGGTGCAGCACGGGCTTAGTCGCTCCGCGGCGTGTGGGATCTTCCCAGACCAGGGCTTGAACCCGTGTCCCCTGCATTGGCAGGCGGACTCTCAACCACTGTGCCACCAGGGAAGCCCCAGGTTGTATTGTTGATGCAAGCAACAGAAGACTTCACTCCATAGTATAATAACCTAAACATTTAATCTTCTAAAGACTAACATGATGGTGCTTTGAAATAATTTTTTAAATGCCCATTTCATTATGTCTTTTGTAGTTAAATTTATATGAAGTAATGCAAGAGGGAAGAGATAATGGGGACAAATGTATATGTATAACTGATTCACTTTGTTATAAAGCGAAACTAACACACCACTGTAAAGCAATTATATTCCAATAAAGATGTTTAAAAAAAAAGTAAACACAACCAGCTATCTGTATAAAAAGAGTCCACTCAAACTAGATTAAGTAGGAAAGGAATTTATGGGGAAAGGGAAATTGGATCAAGGTGATCAAAAGATACAAACTTCCAGTTATAAGATAAATAAATACTAGGGATGTAATGTATAACATGATGAGCAAAGTTAACACTGCTGTATGGTATAGCTGAAAGTTGTTAAGAGAATACACCCTAAGAGTTCTCATCACAAGGAAAAATTTTTTTTTCTTTTTTTTTGTATTTATATGAGATGATGGATGTTAACCAAATCTATTGTGGTAATCATTTCACAGTATATGTAAGTCAACTCATCATGCTGTGCGCCATAAACTTATACAGTGCTGTATGTCAACTATATATCAATAAAACCGGAGGGGGAAAAAAGGGGATTTATTGACTCATGTAACTTCAAAGTCCAGGATTCAAACGATGTCATCAGGACCCAGTTTCTCTCTCTGACCCTTGGCTCCACTTCTTCTGCAGCTCTATGCTCAGAGATCTTCACCTCTGGACCCAGAACTGCATTCTTTCAGATCTCTGTCCAGGGGAGAGAGCACTTCACTCCATGCAATTAGAGAACAAAGCCCTGGGCTTGGCTCCCATTGGCCCAAATTGAGTCACATGGCTACCCTAAACCAATCACTATGGCCAGAAGGATGACAGCGATGACTGGTTTAGCCCTAAATCACCCAGGCAATTTAAGGATGAGCTAGAGCCAACTCCTCCAGAACCACTTTCCTGAGAGTAAATCAGGTGTGGGACCCAAAAAATCTGGGGGCTGTTACTGGAATCAGGGTGAATGAATGCTGAGAGACTCACAGCTTGGTCCTTATTTTTCTCATTTTTCCTGAAGACTGCCTCCCCAGTCTCCCTCAGCAAGCATGTCAAAACCAATATTAAAACGCAGGCTTCTCACTGTCCCAGGCTCCAACTTGAGGTTGGTCTCATACTCTCCTCATCTCCCACCCAGGTATGAGCAGATCCCCATGGGGGAGAAACTGGCCAGTCATACAGGGTCCATCACTGAGCTCCAGGCTGGGGTGAGGTCAGTCTATAATAGGTAGTTTTGGACATTCCTCAAGTGCTGGGATTTGGAGGGGGGGCAAAGTTATAAATAGGAGTGAGGAGGTATATTAATTTCCTACTAACACTCTAACAAATAACCACAAACTTAGTGGCTTAATACAAATCTATTACAGTTTTGGAGGTTGGAATTCTGTCTCATAAACTAAAGTCAAGGCGTTGGCAGAACTGCATTCCTTTCTGGAGGGGGTAGGGAAGAATCCATTTCCTTGCCTTTTCCAGCTTTGAGGCTGCCTGCATTCCTTGGCTCATGACCCCTTTCATCTTCAAAACCAGCAAGAGCTGGTTGACTTGGTACCACATACTCTGACTCTTCAGCCTCTCTCTTCCACATTTGACTCCTGTGATTACACTGGGCCCACCCAGATAATCCAGGATAATCTATTTTAAGGACTGCTAATTAACCTTAATACCATCTGCAACCTTAATTCCCCCTTGCCATGTAATATAACATACTAACAAGTCTCCAGGGATAAAGCCATGGACATCTTGGGGGTGGGAGGCCTCCCCCAACAAAGGTCACTATGTCCTGGGACCAGTTCTTAAGTGGACAGAGGGAGAGGCTCCCTTCTTGGAGCTGTTGGGTAGGGTGCGTTAGATACATACCATAACCTAGTCCTAGCTGTTCTCACTAGGCCACTGGCCTGAATTAGACTTGAGAGAGTGGCTCAGTCAGGAATAAAGAAATGTGACATCACCAGGCTGAGTGTGGGGGACCTCTTCAGAGGGTAGCTGGGCTTTGAGGGATGCTGAGAATCTAGGAGAACCTATGGGGGTTAGTCATGATGCTGCTTAAGTCAACAGAAGAAGGGGAAGGAAAGTATGATGGCCTGGCGGTCTAGAAACTGGAAGAGGGTATCCATTTTAATCATCCAGCAACTACTACCCACTGGGGAAGAGAGGTGGAAGGGCATGAACTGCAGCCAGAGGGGACTGGAGCTCAGACAGTGCTCAACCCATCTGAACGAAGCAACCTTTCTGGCTTCACCCAAGTAGCTTCTGGGCTTTGGAATCATTTGCACTGGGTTCAAACCCCACTGTGCCAGTTATAGACTATGTGAACCTGGGAAAGTGGCCTAACTTCTCCGAATCTCTTGTTCCTTATCTATTAAATGAGAATGATACCATCACGTTCTTCATGTGGCTAATATGAATTAGAAGTTCTTTTTTAAAAAAAGTTATAAGATCTTAAGGAACATTCTAGAAGGGAGGACTGTCAGATAGTCTAAAAGAAGCCCTAGCATGGATCGGTGATTAGGCTATTGTTGAGAGCACAAGTCTTGAGAGAGACACGGGGTTGAATTCTGCCCTTACCATAACTAGCTGTGTGAGTCTGGACAAGACACTTAACCTATGTAAGCCCCAGTCACAGAATACATTTATTGTGTACCAAATCTGAGGCAAGCAGCTTCTTGCTATGTAAAGTCAGAAAAATATTAGTACCTCATTCCTAGGGTTGATGTAAACTTGAAGTTAGATGCTCACAAGCAACTTGATTCAGTGCCTGGTGTGCAGGAGCTTCACTCAAATGTTAGGATAACTCAACCCACCTGGGTGGAAAAAGAGGACGTGGAGAACAGGGAGCTAACTTGACTGGAAAGGCCCCTGGATGTCCTGTGATGTTGCGGACATCCCCGAGCACAGACCTCAGTGTCTAAGTCGCAGCCGGTATGACCAGCAGGCTCACCCAGTGTAGACACAAGTTGGCTGGCTCCTGGCCAGCTCAAGGTGTTTCCCTTTTCCTTGGAAACCGGGAGGTGTGGCTGAGGCAGGGCATGGAGGAGAGCAGCTCAACTAAGAAGTGGTGAAGAGGAGCCCCGCTCTTGGATCCCTCTGGTTCCCCCAAATGCTGGGAACCAGCTTCCCCAGGCTAAAGGAGACAAGTGAGTAGGGAGCCACCTGGGAAGAGCATTTCAGGACTGGGGGCTTGAAAAAGGCTTGGGTCCTTCTTGCCTGCTGGGAGCCAGGGGTTTGGGTCCAGCCCTAGAACAAGAGGTGAGGTGGGAGCTGAACTCCTTAGGAAGAGTTCCCTGAACTCCGCAGGGCCCCCTGCTGTGAACCAGAGCCCCGGGTAACCAGGCCCCAGGGTCGGTGGTGGAGTTGAGAACAAAGTGCACCCACACCCCACACCCCCACCCCAGGTCTGGACCAGGACGAGGCCCCAGTAACAATGCCGGCCACCTGAGCTTCACACCATGTATACATACTGCTGCCTGGCGCCTGGGCAGGACGTCTGGCCTCTGCTGCAGCACCTCACCTACACCTACCTGCCCGCCCCTCCGCTGCTGCCCCTCATTCAGGCCCACAACTTCTGCAGCCGACCCCCGAGCCTGAGCGCGGGCGAGTGGGCGGCTCCGCGGGAATACCACTGCTTCCACGCCACAGGCGCGACGCTAGTGATCACGCCGCCCTTGTGGGCCTTCCCGCAGGCCTACGCCGCGGCCCTGCAACCGCCGTTCCCAGCGCCCGGCTACCCAGGGCCGTCGCTTCAGGAGACCGCAGCTGCGGGGCTGGCGGCGGTCGAGAGCGGGACGCAGTGGCCGGAAGGCAGCAGCCTGCACGCTGAGCTGCACTGGGGCCGCGTGGAGCGTACGCTCGGGCCGGGCCTCGAGCTGCCGAACTTCGTGCGCCGGGAGTTGCGGCGAGCGTACGGCACGTACCCACGCACCGACGTGCGCGTCACCTATCGCGGCGGCGAGTTCCTGCTGCAGGGCGCGCCGCGCGTGCACGAGCCCGAGAACCGTACGGAGAGGCGAGTGCTGCGTCGGCCAGCCAGCAGCTGCAGTGGCTGCAGCATCCCCGCGGGGGAAGCGGCGGAGCGCGGCCGCCGGAAGAAGAGGAAAGACTGGAGCTGAGGGCGCCGCGAGGCCCGGCGGCCGGCCAGGATGAGCACGCGCGCGGCTCTCCTCCTGCCGCCACAGCTGTGCGCTGGGGCTAGGTGCACCTGTCACCTCTTTTTTTTTTTAACCACCGCCCACTTCCTGCACGTCTTGATTTCTTTCAGGTTATTGCTGGATGGCGGGGCAAGGGCGAGAATGGATCAAGGACATCTCTGGGTGGGTGTCCTATTACTCCTTCCTTCTACTTGGACTTGGGAAGCCTGAGTGTGTGTGGTGGAAGGAGGGCCTGAACCCTTTGTTTCCTCTCTCCTTCCTCCCCACCTTCTTCCTCTTTGAAGCCTGCCCTGCAGTAAGCCCCCACTTTCGCTTTTTCCTCTCCTCCCTCCAGCAAAGCTCTCCAAACTCCCCAAGCTGAGGGCCCACCTATCCCCAGCTTGTAAGAAAAGTAAATAAATGAGTGAAGTCAAGTGTAGGCTTCAAGATCATTTTTATGCTTGGGGATAGGGGTTTTTCTTCATCTGTGTAAGGTGAGCTTTACTTTCCATCTTGGGGTACAAGGTGTTGGAGGTGAGGATTAGAGTGGACCTCTGGAAAAAGTGTGCTCCCTCACTGGCTGGGCCTCACTCTGCCTTAACGAGCTCCCTTCCAGTGCAGGAGGACACTCTTCTAGGTCCTGAGGCCCACCATCCCCAGAGAGATTCGGAGGGCATAAGCTATTTTGTTGAGGCGTGGATGACAAGCATGGCTGAGGAAGGCTGAGGAGGGGATCCATAATCAGATCCATAATGGCTCTGACATTTTCTAGACTCTGAGCCTCAATTTCTTCATCTGTAAAAGAAGAAGAAAACCAACCCAGCCTACGTGGAAAATTTACCAACGATTAAATTTAAGATGAATGTCACTTCTTGTCTCCTGATTCTTGCTAATAGTGTTTAATAGGGTGAATTTGCAATATTATAGGAGTTTGCTGGAGGGTTAGGCCACACATCCAATTTTAACTAAGGGTCTGGCCAGACCACCAGATCTGATGCCCAGGCTGTATAAATTTGGCTCCTATTGGAATTGCTTTCACTGAACTTCCATTTGCTTCCAACAGCTACCTGGCTATACAGGTATGTTATTGAAGCTGTAGATCACTTGATTGAACACTGCTGTATTTATGAGCTTCATGGAGAAGTTCTATTAAACCTCAGCATTTGGTAAAGGTGTTTCTACTGATAAGTGGTTTGCTTTTATCTTTGAATCACCAAGGATCTCATAATTGATCATATTTTTCTATTTGCCCTGGTTTCTAGGGAGCCAAATTTGCTTAGCATCTTTTGTGTAAAACCTTGATCCTGAACTGTTACCCCTAGCTTCATCTTATTTTCCTTTCCTTTTTTATTTTTTAATTATAAAGACACAGGGAGGTGTTGTAGTATGATGGGTTTGCTGTGTGACCTTAGATGAATTGCTTAATGTCCCTGAACCAATTTCCTCATTGCAAATGGGGATGATGGTATTAGGACCTATCTCATAAGATTATTGAGAAGGTACTGTGAAATCCTGCACAAAAAATGTTTACCACAGTGCCTGTCATGTAAAGTGCTCAAAGGGTAGTGTTTGTTTTTAAAAAGTAGTCTGCAATACAGAAATTTATAAAATAGGAAGTTAAAATCTGTTCTAATATCCCTCACCCCCAAATGATCACTGAGGTCCAATCTAGTATTTTTTACTATTTTTTTCTGTTCACCTAGTATTAATTACATAAAATGAATTGCACAGTTTTGCTTGTTGCATTATACATTAAGTATATCTTGGACATCATTTTATGCCAATGCGCATGGAGTTACCTCATTCTTTAACAGTCATCCAATATTCTATAGCATTTGGATTCTTTCCAGTTTTTAGCTATTAAAAGTCCATCCAACAAATTTCTTGAGTGCTTTTTATTTGCCAGGAACTGTGGTAGGCCCCGAGGATACCATAGTGAATGAGACAGCCATGGCAGTTTCTGTCCTTATGGAAGACATTTAAGCTGAGATCTAAAGAATATGAAGAAGCTAGCCATGCAAAGAGAAGGGTGAGGGGAAGCCAGGCAGGAAGTATGGTGGGTGCAAACGTCCCAAGAAATGAAAGTTATCTTTATTCACTCGACAGGCATTTGAGAGCCCACAGTTTGCTGGGCAGTGTTCTAGGCACTGGTACTACGGGAGAAAAACCAAACAACTCCCTGCCCTCGTGGAGCCTACTTTAGAGGTGTAATGTAGAGAAACAGAGACTGACAACAAGCAAATGGGAATATACGATGTAATGTCATACAGTGATAAGTAATGGGGTGCTGTTTTCAACAGGATAGTTAGGGAAGGCTTCTCTGAAGAGGTGACTCTTGAGTGGAGACCTAATAAAGACCTTTACGAGCCATTTGAACAGCTGGGGGAGAAAAGCAAGTACAAACACCCTTTGGCTGGGGTGTCCTTGTCCTGTGAGCGAGCGGGAAAGTGATAATTAATGAGGTTACAGATGAGGCTGGATCCTGTGGTACCTTGAAGCCATGTAGAAAAATTTGGATTTTATTCTTAGGGGATGGAGGGTTATGAGCAGGGGGAAATGTGATGAGATTTTTTTTTTTAAGTTATTCTGGATACTGTGTGGAAAAGAGACTATAGAGGGGCCATTTTGAAAATCGGGAGAGCAGTTAGGAGGCTTTTGAAGTAATACAGGCAAAAAATAAGCTGATGGCTTGGTCTTATCTGGAAGCTGTGAGGGTAATGAGAATAAATGTCCTTGAATATGCATCTTTATTCCATACACGAGTGTTAAATTGTGGAATCTGAAGACTTAGAATTAGAAATTGAATCATTGAACAATGCCACCCTAGCAGCAGAAGCACAGCCAGTGCCTAGATTTTTGGTTCTAAATTACATTCTCCAGTAAAAGGAACCGGTCCCCTTGGGAAAATGGCTGATTCCAAGGCTGTGGCAGGGAAGGCACAAGATGAGACGGGAACAACTTGTGCCAGAAAATAAAGGACTGATCAAAAATGTCAAAAGAACAAAGGAGCCAACTTGAAGGGACTTCCACGGACCAAATCAAGGACAATTTAAGCATCGAAACAAATAATCACAGTAACAGATTATAACCTGCTGAATAAAATAAGGATCCCTAAGTCCATACTAATACTAACTAAAAAATACATATGAAAGGAAAACTCTTCCTTATAGTAGAAGTAATGATGAAATTAGAAAATCACCATTCCCAATCATCAGAGTAATGATTGATTCAGGTGAGAATCATTTCTGAATACTAAAACTGATGGGTGAAAGTTTGATGTGAAACTGGATATTTATATAGTTTCAAATATGTTCCAATAAGATATTTATTAATTACAAATTTTAAAATAGTAACCTGAAAAAAAATAGTAATGTGATAATAGGGAAAACTGGTGGATAACACTTTAACCCCATTGCAGTAGTCCCTCTTAAAGTCTTTCTTACCATCTTTAATGGGTGTGTTTAAAAAATTTTTTTTCAATTTATTTATTTATTTTTGGCTGCATTGGGTCTTCGGTGCTGCGCGCAGGCTTTCTCTAGTTGCGGCACGCAGGCTTCTCATTGCGGTGGCTTCTCTTGTTGCAGAGCACGGGCTCTAGGCGCGCAGGCTTCAGTAGTTGTGGCGCACGGGCTCTAGAGCGCAGGCTCAGTGGTTGTGATGCACGGGCTTAGTTGCTCCGCAGCATATGGGATCTTCCCGGACCAGGGATTGAACCCGTGTCCCCTGCGTTGGCAGGTGGATTCTTAACCACTGTGCCACCAGGGAAATCCCTAAAATTTTTTCTTTAACAGAGACAAATTGCCATCATGTGCTGTCTGATATGTTAAACTGAAAAATACAACATCAGTTCAGCAGTAAGGCATAATCACGAGGAAACCTCAGATAAACCTAAATTGAGAGAAAATTGTTCAAAAATGTCAATGCTGTAAAAGACAAAGGTTTCAGGTCAAAGGAGACAAAAAGAGGCATGAAAACTAAATGCAACACATGATCCTGTTTTGGATCCTGGACCAGAATGAAAATTGTTGTGAAGGACAGTGTCGGGACAAGTAACAAGATTTGAATGAGGACTATAGATTAGAGAAAGCAGCATGGCAAAACGTTAACAGTTGGTCAATCTGGTAGAAGGCTAAGCCAGAGAGTTCTTTGTACGATTCTGGTTACTTTAAGTTTGAAATAATTTCTAACTAAAAATAAAAATAGCAATAATAAGGAAATTGAATCTCTGGATCAAAAAGGATACACATTTAAAATGTACTCTGTCACAGATTTTATGTTTTAATCTTAGAGAATTGTCTGCATGCTGGTAAGCCTCCTCAAATCCTTTTTTTGAAACAAGGCAGGCTTCAAGTAAATCATGAGTCTCATACCAAGTTAGGTGTGTTCTGAATCCCCTTCCTTCTCTATCGTCTCAGGTCCAGACCCTTGAAGTCTCTCAACTTCCCCCATCTCGGGATTTCCCTGGTGGCTCAGTGGTTAAGAATCCGCCTGCCAATGTAGGGGACGTGGGTTTGAGCCCTAGTCCGGGAAGATCCCACATGCCACGCAGCAACTAAGCCCATGCGCCACAACTACTGAGCCTGCGCTCTAGAGCCCACGAGCCACAACTACTGAGCCTGTGAGCCACAACTATTGAAGCCCGCGTGCTCTAGGGCCCACGTGCCGCAGCTACTGAGACCGCATGCCTAGAGCCCGTGCTCCGCAACAAGAGAAGCCACTGCAATGAGAAGCCTGCACACCGCAACGTGAAGAGTAGCCCCCGCTCGCCGCAACTAGAGAAAGATCGCACACAGCAACGAAGACCCAACACAGCCAAAATTAATTAATTAATTAAAAAAAAAGAACTAAGTACACATCCTCCAAAATTCCATTCACAGGAATTTAAAGACAAAAAAAACACTTCCCCCATCTCTGAGAATCCGCATTGCTCACATTCTTCCCCCAAGTCTTCCATATATGCCCTGGAAATGCCCAGAGACTGCAAACCATATACCCCTATCCCCCAGCCCCAGTGAGGGAGGAGGCCCCCAATTACAGGCTTTTTGAAGGAAGTGCTGCCACTCAGCTCAGTCCAACATGCCAATCCTTCCAAACCCCAGTGCTTGCTCCAGCCCTAAGGATGTAAATAAGCCCTGCAGGGAGCCTAGATGCTTCTTTGTTTGTTCTTTTCTTTGAACTTAACCCTTAGAACTCATAAAACATCTGGGCTGCCAGGGACTTTACTGTTCACCTGGCCCAACCTCCTCAGGTGACCTTATGCTGGGAAACCGAGGCCAGAGAGGAGTGACTCACCCAATGTCACACAGTAGGTGGGAATCCAGAGCTTCTAGATCCCAGCAGGGCTTGGGCTGCCAAACTCATCTTGATGGCCTTCTCCTCCTGGCCTCGCCCCAGCTTTACCCAGCCCTGGCATCTGGTCTAGAGCCCTTTGCTCAATAAACCCTGACTGACCAATTTTAAACCCTGTCCTACCTCCCAGCTGGGTAGCTCACATCCTACTGAAGGGAGGATAATAAGAATCATAACAGGGAGTTCCCTGGTGGCCCAGTGGTTAGGATTTGGCGCTTTCACAGTGGAGGCCCAGGTTCGATCCCTGGCCAGGGAACCATCCCGCATGCCACGTGACATGGCACAGTCAAAAGAAAAAAAAGAAAAAAAAAAAAAGAATCAGCAATCTCACACACTTAACTGAGAACTTACTATGTGCAGGCACTGTGCTAGAGCCCTGTACAAAAACTATCATTTAATCTTCACAAAAACCTGGCTGTGGATATAATTATTATTCCCATTTATAGATAAGGAAACTGAGGCCAATAGAAGTTAACAACTTACCCAAGGGTACACACAGAGAATACACCTGGGAAATCTGACTGTAGCCTTAACATCTAGGCCAAACTGCCTCTTCATACATGAGACACACTCAGCAAAATACAAGGAACGTTTATTGAACAGCCACTCTGTGTAGGACACAGGACTAGACACTATGGGGCTCATGAATCAAGCCCCACTGGAAGCAGAGTGCAGAGGATTTGTAGGAGATCGTATGCATCATTGAGGGGTTGAAGAAGGTTCTTGGAAGAGGCATCTGAGAGAGGCTTTGAAGGATGTATAGGATTCCAACAGATAGCGATGGAATGGAGGTGTCCCAGGGAGAACTGAGGAGGGATTAGCATGAATAAAAGCATGGCAGCAGGAGCAGGAAGTAGCAGGGTTTCATTGGAGGACAGGTTTTAACCAGGGAGCAATGGAAGATCAGGCTTGAAAGCTAAGTGGAGGCCATACTTTGAAAGACTTTAATGGCAAGGTGAGGAGTTTTGGGGAGCCACTGAAGTCTTTGACAAGAAGAGTAACTCGAAGTTATTAAAAGTTCTGGCAGGTGGCAGCACCTGGCTGGGACGCTGTGAGTCTGAGACAGCAGGTCCCCCATGACCTCAGTATTGACAGTACAGCACAGCCGGGCACCAGAACTGAGTCCCCAGGGCATTTGCTAGAGCTCACAGCCTATGGAATTCAGTTCTCAGAGCCAGATGGCCAAAGTTCTCTTAGCCTTGATGCTGCCCTCCTGTGCTCCCTTCTGTGAATTTTTCCCCATTCCCAGGATGTGTCTGAAGAGGAACCTGGGATCTCAAGATTCCTCCTATCCCATCGAGGGTCTGAGCTCGGAGCTGAAAATAGGGGCCCATTGCTAGGGAA